TAGTCTACCCTTCTAAGATTTCCTTGTTTAATCCTGTGGCGATAGATGGACAGGTTTTTTATTTAATCACATCCATCCTCATTTTATATCAGCAGTAAATCTAGTGCAGGTAATAAGATGCTTCCCATATCCTTATTTTCATTTTGACAAAGCTCAAGACCAAGTGAAAGATTGATGGTGGCAGTTTCTTAATAAACAGTACAGAACTTCAACCGCTTGTGTTTGGACAGCATTGGAGAGTGGTGGACTGGACACACTAAACGTGCACACTATAGACTAGCTGTACTTTAGTCCTTCCATTTTACTGGATGCTACTTCTGTAACACTCTATATTTTCAAGTACTTCATAATACTTGCTTCCTCTTATATGTGCTTACCTCTAAATGTAACATCTTAATATACTTATTCAAATTGCCTTTTTTATCCTAACTGTCCCTGTGGTTCGGAAAGGATTTCAAAGTCAAAAGTCAGCTTTATTGTCAAAACTACTACATGTGTTATACATCCAGAAATCTCGAGATACCGTTTCCCGCAGTCCCACAGTGTGACATATATACATAAAACAATAACAAAAAGGGCCTAGATAAACGGGGTATACAATTTAAAATGTTAATAATATAAGATTTCTGATCATTTTTAATAAACTGTTCCGACAAGTCCACCCAAAATTATACCACAAAATGCAATGTTGGTCCATCCCCTGCAGGTCTACACATAGAAGCATTTTCTGATCTGATATGTAGTGTCTGGGTTTTCTAAAGTCACCACAAACCACTGTAAAAAGTAAGTATGTTGTGGAATCACCATGGTTAAGGTTTGGTTAGACACAGAAACTACTTGGTTAGGGGAAGTGAAACGTATCATAGTTTCACCCTGACCTCTTTGACAGCTTGTGCTGATTGTAGAAACTGAAAAGTTTGAACAATTGAGTTTTGAAATGTGCCTTTGGTGGTTTGATGTTGAAATCAGGGAACTTTTTGAATGGAAAACCAGAAGACAAGTCGAACTGAGGAGAGCCAAACCGTGCCATGCAGTGTAAATTAGACTTGAGTGAAACAGATATTTGGTGATTATTGCCATCAACCTTCCAAGAATGTTTTCCAAACTGTCAGTATGAAGTCCAAAACTTATCATCCGTTTGAAAAAGTGACATTTTTAGTTTTTGCTTCCCCATCTGAAGATGACATTTTGGAGACCGGGTGTTTTTGATCTTTTCTTTTTCCATTTTCCACATCACAGGCTGCTCACTCATTCGACTGTCTCTGCCTCCGTTCCTCTATCTCACATTCATCATCTCTACACGTTTCACCCAAATCTAATCAGCGGGAATATTGTCTGTGACAGGCAGAAAAACAAATGAGCAAACAAAAGAATGGATGTGGGGACTGACATTTTCCGCACCATCTTGAAGAAAAGCCTTCCAGACACGCTTTGGTATCTATTGTACCGCCGCAGTAATTGTGTAATTCTCCACAGTGGGAATGGCAGTAGCTGAATCGTATCTATCCTGTAATCCCCGTTAAGAGCCTGCTGTTAAGAATTTCTGCTTCATTATTTGCTGGAGAGCTCCTTACATTTCATTTTGTGGAATACAATTAATTTACTCAAGATGGATATACAGTAGGGCCGCCCTGCAGACCCTGAAACGTCTCAAACTGGTTCCTCTTCACCAGCTGAGTGTCCCCTCCTCTGGTCCCCCTCTCAGTACCTCTGGAGGACTCTCTTTATTAACGTAGAGGTTATAAATAAACAGGTCAACTGTGGGAGGCTCTTACAGTCTCTCATCACAAGTAGAAAACAGCTGTCACCATGGTTACTGATGGGTGGTATTACAGTATGTGCTTTTTCTCTGCAAAAGCATTACACCTCCAAACAATACGGTTTAAACTCACTTCTCTTAAATGATTAACAAACAGAACAGATAGGGTCTTTATGACCTCACACGTTCTGCAGGTGTATTTAATGTACTATTTTTTTCTCTTAGTTTTATCTTTAAAATATCATGAACAATCCCCATTTTAATTTTCGAATGCCAAAGGTGACATTAGAATGGCATATTAGCATTTGAGAATAGAACATTTGTGTTTGAAAATGTACTTTACTTCTGTCGCTCAATCAGTTTGCCTCAGAGAAAGCCACCTTGAATACCATGTAATGAGCTAGACGTATGGTCAAAGAGGCAAAAATACCACATTTTTGCACATTCTTCTCCATTGTCCAGAAAAAAACCTTTCTTTTTATGAAATGCAGAATCGCAAGTTCAGCTATTCATTCTCATTTTCTCTTAGGGAACTTTTCATTCCTTACAAACCATTTTGAGAAAGCTCTCTAGGTGAAGGAATCAGACTGACCCAGTGTTTGTCAGAGCTTAGCTTTATCAGTTGTCAACTAACAGTGAAGCGGTGTTTGAGATCAAAGAGCAGCTTTAAGGTATCTGTTTACAATACATTTTTGACAGTGGTTACTCCAGCTGATACAGATCACTCACTCTTAGTCTGTTGATGTGATCTGTTCTGCATCTGAATAAAGAGTGTGTTGCTGTGTTTGACTAAAGGAAAAGAGGCAGGGACTCTGGGAGAGAGGAGAGGAAGCTGACGTATGATGAGATTCATGAGATTCATTTTTGTGTACCATTTGTGTAAAGCAACGAGGCCTGCTTATGTTTGTGTGTGGGTGTGTTTTGTATTTGGGATGCAAAAGGCGTCCACCAGCCAGCTCTGCAGATGTGGATGTTCTGCTAGATTGATTCTCATCCCCCTGAGAGGGAGCTGGTGTGTGCATGTTTGTTGTGTGTATGTGTGTTTTATAGTGAGTGTGTGTGTGTGACAGGGAGAGATCTATGCCCAGCTGAGTGCCCTACCACTGTTTGTTTAAATTTCCTCCACACTTCATCACCCCCTCCCTCTCCTCAGAACCATCCTTTCTTCTCCGTCTGCACGATCATCCCCTCTGTCACAAACCAATGCTGCTTTTTTCTAATGAGGTGAAATAAGCGGTACAGGTGTAGGGAGTGGGCAAAGTAAATGAATGCAATGTTTTTTTGTGTCTACGCACCGACAACATGAGGCATTATGTGTTACGGTTGTCCGTCCTTCTATCTGTATGAACTTATTTCTGTCCATTCTCATGAACGCAAGATCTCAAGAACACCTGAAGGACAATTTTTTTTTTTAAGTTGGCAAAAAAATCCACCTTGAGTCAAGAATGGGCTGATTAGATTTTGGTGTGCACAAATCTAAGATGCTGTGACCTCACAACAGCATTTACCACATGTTTATTCAGTCAATTGTCATTTTATGTAGGGCTACAACTAAGCATTATTTAATTATTTGGTAATCTGACTCATCACCTATTTTTTGGTTCGTTGTTGTTGTTGTTCGTTGTCTAAATGTCAAACATTTGTGAAAGATGCCCCTCACAGTTTCACAAATCAGTGCTGTTATGCTTACATTGCCAGTGTTGTACAATCGACTGTCCAAAAACCTTAGGAGTTGTTGTTTCTCACACCTGGAGGAATGTTCTGCATTGAAACGATGAATCGATTGTGTTACTCGTGTGTTTTGTAGTACTTCATTAAAATCACGTAAAAGTACTTAAGTGTTATTCTATCTTGATGTATTGTAATTCGTAGACAACATATTGCCATATTAAATGTTGTCTGTGTCCCCCTCACTTTAATGGATGCCTTATGGCGCAGATGATGGATGACAGTGAACGCAACTGAATATCAATGAAGTGTGTGTAAGTGTGTGTGAGATGAAGAATGAACGCTTTGTGTGTGTGTGGAGGATTTTGTTTAAGATCTGCGTAGTCCTGTATATATGTAATCACATTCCCTCCTGTCGGCTTTATTATGAATAAGTTGAGTAAAAAGCTTTATTTCCCATGAGGCTCGGCTCTAATGGTGTTTATTACAACTGCAGATTCAAATCCAATCGGATGAGGAACATCTGTCTGTGGCTCACTTTAAATCCTACCCTCCTTCTCTGCATAGCTCAGCCTGCCTCTTCATCTGACAGTCTGAATACTAATGTCACTAAAGTTACAATTATTTATCTACTCCCTTCGACCCCATGCAGACAGACACACCACGACCACCGACACACACACACACTTGTTTACCAGCACCGCTCACTAATTGACACATCAAAGACCATCTTTTTTTTTTATTTATCACTTCTTTGTCCACTTATTCAATGTTTTGGTGTGTTTATTGCCGTTTCTCCTTCCATCATCTCTCTCGGTCTCTCTTCTTTAAACAACTTCTTCAAGCATTTTGTTATTTAAACCATCTCTGAGCCAACTTAGTTAGTTGAAAGAAACAAACCAATATATATATGCAATTAATGTTTCCTTAAGAGCTTTAATAATTTCTGTCTTTAGTGACTCCAAGAAGAAGTCTATCCATCACATTTCATCTCCTTTTTTCCTCTTGCCTTCTTCCGTCAAACATCCATCATGTTGAAGTTGATAAATTACTTTCATATCAGCTCTATTCCCAAAAGGAATATCGTTGTGTATTTGTGTTTGCTGCTATCTGTCTCTTTGTTGTTGTTTCCAAGGAAATGTGTCTTTGAAAAACATTTACTCTCAAATGTTTTCACTTTATCATTTTCACAGGGCCTGAGGGAAACTAAAAAACATTTCACTTGTTTTTAAATTCTCTGCACATGATCACTGATACACAATTCGGTTTACTTTGTTGACGAAAATATATTACAGGCGAGAAACGTTCATTTTCCTGTTGAAAGAAATAGCATTTTCCCGTCTCAAAAATAACCAGGTGGTAAATTCAAACATTCAAATCCTTTGCATCTCAAAAAGAAAATGTTGAATGTCATGTTTCAGTTGGAGTGCCGGTGGGGTTTTGCAGGTGCCAAAGATATGTAAAAATGTTCAGAACATATGATGAAAGCTATGGTTGGTTCCCTGAGGCAATTTAACAAATCATGTCTCTCTCTTGTCTCCCCCTTTTTTTGTATCCTCTCCCTCTCCTTTAGGTGACATGTAATTGTTTCACCATCAGTGACGGAGAGCTGCAGGAGATTGGAGTTGGGCTGTATCCTAGGTAACACACACACACACACGCGCGTGCACACGCACACTCAAAGGGCAATGTGTGATTGTGAAGCATTACAAATCCAAAAAGCATCATTAATTTCAATCTGGCTCATAATTACTGTTAGATGGTGCCTCTCTCTTTCTCATTCATACACTAAAAATTCCACAAAATGTAAATGTGTCTCTTAAGTTACCTGCCACATCGACGCACCTCAACCAACCCTTTCCAAAGCCCCCATTGCTATTTTCCTGACAGTTCTTTGAAGCACAAGGAAGAACGGAGAAAGGGAAGTGATTTTTTGTCATGAGGAGAAACCTTGAAAATGAATGTTGACAGAATATTATAACGCTGTTTGGGGAAGATGGGGGGGCGCAGAGAGAAGCGAGAACGCATGGAGAAATACATGGTTACTCTCAAACTCATATGATTCTTGTCTTGCTCACACACACACACACACACACACACACACACACACACACACACACACACACACACACACACACTCACTCACAGAGAAAGGCTGTGCTGTAATCCCTGTATTGAGTCCTGAGTGAATGGGATGGGATTTGGCCTGTCGTTGCACATGTTGTTAGAGCTATACACACACACACACACACACACACACACACACACACACACACTCTGCAGGTATCTCTGCCAGTTTATCTGGCTGGCGTTGAGATGTCAGATGGTCACAGTGGCTTTACCAAAGCTCAGCCAAACAGCGTGTGTCTGTGTCAGTGTGTGTCTGCGATTTGTGTCGTAACTCATCCATAAATGATTGGCCTTTTCGCAGGATGGTCCCCTGCCTATTCATATTTTGGGTTGCCTAGCAACAACTGGGTTTGCTGAAGAGAGAGGGGGGATTACTCTGGCGAGGCTACACCTCTGTTCACGCCATGACTCTTCTCATTTACTGACTTTCTCACTTTCCTCTCTGACTCCACTGACCTCATCCTTCTCTCTGTCTGTCTCTGTACTCTCAGCTGATCTTTTTTTCTGAAAAATACATTGTAAAATCACATCCTCTGTTTGTTTATTCACAGTTGGAACAGTTGACTTGTAATCTATCCCAATGTTGTACTTCATATCGTCTCTCAGAGTAACATACTGTAAACTATGTGCTAAATCCTCATGGAGAGGCACTGAAACGAAAACAGGAAGGTGAGATGAGCTGACAATATGATACAAAATCTGAAAAACGGGACTACATATTGGAATATATTTTTCAAAAAGAAATTGTTCAAAAGTTTTTTACTACCTCAGAGTTTGGACATTAATATGATGTACATCTCGTATAGTATGGGTCCGTGATTTTTGACTAGTGTTGTTTCAAATCAAACACGGCTGAAGTGCAATGATAGCAAATGATAATCATAGCATATGAATGTCCTGCCTCTTTTTTAATTGCTAACGGACGAATAATTACAGGCAATATTTTATTTTGAACTCACACTATGATGATAATGGAGTTTCAGAGGTTTTACATTACAACACAATCCTATATAATACAAATGAATGAAAGCGGTGGTATCCAAACATCTGAGACGTAAACTTAAGTCTATTAGAGCCATTGCAACATGAGAGAAAATGAATGATTTAAAACTAGACCTGGACCTGGAAGTCAAACAGACTAGTGGCTTGATCGGCCTTAATTAAGGAATCGACTTGATTTGATGTATAGTCAGTGACTTAACTTAATGTGTGTATGAAAAAGTGAGGACTAGGGATTCGCTTCAGACTGGGAACAAATAACTTGAGTCACGTCGGCTAAATAAACCAAACGCGTTTAAGTCCTGTCATTTATTTTAGTATCATGTGAAAGCTTTGCCCTAAATTTGATTGTTATTTTTAGTGCTATTTAATTGAAGTCTGCTGCATTAGTGCTGTAGTGAACTACAAAGATACAGAGAGAAACTCTTCTCTAAGGAGAGTAACACATGGAAGAAAGTATTCAACCCTTTCTTTCAATGAATATCATCAATGATTAGTTCTTTATCATCTCTACTCGTGTGATATACGGCTCTCTATGCTGCAGTATTCAGCAACAGTTGGTGTTAATGTGAGATGCGGTTTAGTTAATTAATCTAATTAGTATGCTAATGAGCTGCTCTCCATCAGATAAAAGCATAATTTGGAGTGCTTGATTTCTAGTTGATATTCAACCCGTAACTTCTCCACTGTAGAACAAAGCCAGGGGGTTACTGATGGTTTTACCAGGCTACACACACACACGCACGCACGCACGCACACGCACACACTCTCCTTATCTCTTGCACCCATTGTTTTGCTCTATGAATATGATAAACAGGAACAGCAGTAATGGATGGGGTCATACAAACAGAGAAACCTCTTGAGTATTATTTTCCAGCCATGTGTGCAGTGACAGTAAATGTCTCTTTTATGGGGTCAGGGAGGTTTTAAATACTTGAATTTAAGAAAAAGATGAACAACAATAACAGTCTCAGCCCGGGTAATATGCAAATCTTTAAAGTTTAGTTACCTGTTTTTGTCTTTCAGGCTTTTTATTTCAATTCATTAGGAGCAGGCTACATGCAAGACGACTATTATAAGACTATATACTTACTTCATCATAGCTCTAATAATCAAGACCATGAGAATAAACCTGAAGCAACTTCCCATCACACTCAGCAGGGAGGTGGAACATTTCACATCCTAATGGTGCAACATCAGCAGCAATGGAGCGGCGGTTAAGAGAAACACACTTGTAAAGCACAGCAGGCGTTTAAGACAATACGGCTAATCTGGTTTATGAAGCCAGTTCTCCAACAACACCTCGCTACGTATCATTAATTCCAACGTGAAAACTGTTCTGCCTTATGGTTTTGAGATGTGGCAAACCACTAAAGCCCCCCCAAGGCAAGATACAGGTGTTGGTCAACAGGTGCTTTACGCTACATAATGTCGGCCCATTACAACCACGAATGAGGCGCTGTGGCGGATTACAGAAAGAAAGATGGAACCACAGTGAAAATAAGAAAGTGAAAATGGATAGGTCACACCCTTAGGGAGGACACAAATAACCTTACAAGACAAGACCTGGAATACATTTTCCAGAGAGAGATGAAACTGGGTAGGCGGAACAAATCCTGAAGATATGTCATGGTTCAAGATTTGGAGAAAATGTAAAGTAAGCTGGCGGGAAGCAAATCTCAGATCCAGAAAAGGTTGAGAAGGCGAGCTCTGGGAGACACTCTACTGTTTACCTCTAATGGGGACGTACAGAAGCATAACTCAGATTCAAGTCACAATCAGTTGCCCTTTTTTGAGATACCTGACTTAAACAAATGATGACTAATAAAACATTCTTACAATAAATTCTACTTCATGAAGGCGTTGATGTTGAGAGGTGTTGACCGAAGTCTCTAATCATTTCTGAGCCATTGGTTTGTGGTGCTGCTGAATTAAGATAGTATTTCTAATTTTAGTGTATCACAGAGAACTCAGTATTACTACTGGTTCAGTCATGCTGTGCCAGCAAAAAATGACATTGATCAATCCAGCCTTTCTCCCTTCAAATCTGCTTTACACATCATACTTACACTTATATTTACTAATATTCTCTTAAAATGTTGTTTCATCAGGATTAAAAGTAGTCCAACTGGTAAATTAAAACATAAGGAAAGAAGCCATTCATGCATTTAATTTAAAGCATAAATAAAAACAATAATTGTTGTCATCAGCGTTATGATGCTGTCAGCCAGTGTTCACTCTACGGTGTTCACGTGAATGGGAAGGAGGATTGGCTTTATTTATTTTGAATCTAGGAAATGACTCTTTGTTGTGACAGAAGTAGAGTACCATGGTTTCCTGATTTGTTTGTCTGTATCTGTCTATGAGAGACAGCGATGCAGAACGAGCGAAAAAACAAATAGAGATTGACATTTGTTATGACAGAAGCAGAGTATTCATTTGTCATACTGTGCAGGGAATTGTCTTGGTTTTTTGTCTGAGGTTCATTTGAGCACTCAGTCTTAACTTAAATGTGTAGATTTCACATTATGAGAAGCCATGCTGCCCCTAACAGCACCTTAGATACGGGGATGACACACACATCCCACAGCTGTCACTCTATATGGATTATGATCTTGAGAGGGACGTGTCACTACATGTGTTTTTACTCTCATGAATATGTTGGAACAAATTAACATTTCAGTCAACATTAGTCTCAGTGATTTGAGTAACCCTTCGACTGTTAGACATGTGGCAGTTGGTGAATCAGCAGGATGAGGCTCTTGTACATTTTTAACCGTTATGATGTGCTCTCTGTCTTTTTCTTTGCCAGGAAGGGTTTTCAAAACAAACATTTATTCACAGAAACTCTCCCTTTTTCCTCCCTTCCCTGCTTTATCTCTTCTCCTCTCTTTAACCTCCTCTCTTCCTCCTCTCCCCCGCTGTTTGCTCTCTCCCAGTTTATCTCTGCTAAACCACGGCTGTAGGCCAAACTGTGTGATGGTGTTTGTGGGAACCAAACTGCACCTGAGAGCTGTTCGAGATATCAACCCTGAAGAGGAGGTATGAGCAGTACACACTTCGTCCTCCCAACATTAACACCTTGGGAAATGATGATGTTATCGACGATGATGATGCCTCTGCTTTAACGTTCATGTTTTTTATGAGCAATATTTATTGAATGTTTTTTTTATTCACTGTTGTTATTGATGTGCCAATGCCCAAGGCTGTTTGGAATGATCTGACAGTAAGAGCAATATTTTACACAGGCGTAAAATCACTGACTATAATGTGAGTTTTGTAATGTTATAATACATGTACTGGGAGTACAGTAAACCTAATGTTTTTAAAGTAATCCTGAGCGTTGTAGCAAAGTAAATAATCATTGCAACACAAGCAGAAGATGACACGTCTTAACACGGCAGCGTCTGTCCTCATTTTCCATACTTTACCTTCCCTACTGACCATGTAATGAGATGCATCCATTCCATCTGGAAGACACACACACACACACACACACACACACACACACACACACACACACACACACACACACACACACACACACACACACACACACACACACACACACACACACACACACACACACACACACACACACACACACACACACACAAATGTTATCTGCTTCACTGTTTTCAGCTGACTATAAGCTACATCGAGACGTTGTCGTTGACTGAAGATCGAAGGAGACAGCTGGAGGACCAATACCATTTTACATGTCACTGCCAGCTCTGTGACTCTCAAGAGAAAGTAAGACACACACACACACACACACACACACACACACACACACACACACACACACACACACACACACACACACACGCACACATCACTGTGTCAAAGCCAGATTTTTCATGGTTTCAAATATTTACATAATCGTCATTTCCAAGCATAATTTATGCCAATGGCTTCATTAACATGGACATAATGATCCAACTGGGAGTGGTACTTGGAGGATAGCATTTATTAAATTTAAGGATTGCTTTAACCATAGTTGTATGTCAATTAAAAGTGTAGCTCTAAATTCTGGAGGAGAATCAAGGTTACATATCAAGGGACGAGTAATTTACACATTTTCATTTTGGGGGTAGTGAATTCTTTTGAAAGTATCCTGATAATATAAGTCCAGAAATGTTTGATTACTACATACTATGGAGGTATTCCACACATCTCTTTTCATACTGCTCATGTATACACTTTATTGAACTCTATACACTGCTTTGAAATATTGTAGAATGCAGGCTGAAGAAAATACAAAGATATATTCCCAGGAGTAGATGAATCACTCAGTACATTTCTGTTCACTTACAGCACAGACAATAACTGTATTCATAACCTTGAGAGGGCTTGTATTTGGTGAAACAATGGAGGTGATGCAGAGGGTTACTGTTCGAAAGTAAACTGGATTGCAGTGTGTTATCTCGCCGTATGAGAAACTACTGTGAAGGAGACATTTGTCTGCATGGAGTTCTTCCCTAATCCAGATTTAACCAAAAAGTTTTTAAACTTTGCAAATATAGTTATTGCTTAAAACCTGTCTGGAACATGTGTGTATAATACCAGAAGTTCAAACACACAGGTATGCACTCTGTCCCTCTCAAACACGCACGCACGCACGCACGCACGCACGCACACGCACGCACACACACACACACACACACACACACACACACACACACACACACACACACACACACACACACACACACACACACACACACACACACACACACACTCACACTCACACACACACACTCTGTTGTTCCCTCTCTTTCTCTATAATGTTCTGATGATGATGGCAGGCTGCTGGGTTGTGACCCAAAGTCGTCATGGCGACTGATGACTGTTGACATCAAACCCAGAAAACAGTGTCTGTGTTTTGTGTTTTTCTCAGTCCGTGTGTGTGTGTGTGTGTGTGTTGTGTGTGTGTTTGTTAAGATGGACATGAAAAAACAAGGCTATCTTGACAGATGTAATTTTATTTGTTCAATCAGTCATGTAAACATCTCAAACTAAAATGTAGGATAAGTCTAGTTTACCTACTATCAAGGTTGTAGATGAGGCTAGAGTCACTGGGGTTTGGTGATACAGTATTTTCCAACTGTCAATAGAGGCACATTTATTCCTATGTGGTCTTTTTTGTGAAAATCAAGTTGTATTGCAACCCTTCAGTCTATAAGATGTTCTTCTTTAACTATACAAAAGACATAACCTTGAGATCTTTGCTGATCAACACACAGTAAAGACGTGCTGAACACTTTTCCTGCACTGCAGTATTTCAAAGGAAGTCTGAGGGTGTTCTTCAAGATAAGATATTTAATTTATATTCAGGTACTAAAATGTTGGTAAACCCACTCTATTCTGTCTGTTTTATGCTGCTCAATCTACCCACTCTTCATAATAACACCTGTTTATATATGGACCTGTTTGTTGGGTCATGTCTGCGAAGTGGATCTCAATGTCCTCTCTCTCCTAGGACGGACTGATGCTGTCAGGGAACGAATCAACATGGTGTCCGCTGAAAGAGGCTCTGCCGAGACTGGAAGGACTGAAGGCAGAGTCGGGTATCCTTTACCTCAGAGATCTAATGAGAATATTTATCATCGATCTTCTTCTGTATTATGGGAAGATGATTAAATAAGTCAAAGCTCTCATCTGCTGACATTTCATCAGTAATACAAAGTTGACTGAATAAATGAGCAAGATTTCCTCAAGATACAAGTGTTCAGCTTTTCATTTTCACATTTTGACAGCGTACAGTATGAATGTTGTTTTTCCTTAAGTGACCCTTCAGATTGGCCGGCACTACTAGAGAACTGCAGTCAGCTATTATCGACTGTCGGGGATGACGTACCAGATGAAAATCTGTATAAACTCAAGATGACCGACATGGCTATTGATGCTTCAATTCACCTGGGACACTGGGAGGAAGCTCTGGGATACGGGGAGAAAACACTTCCAGTATACAGGTGTGTGTGTGTGTGTGTGTGTGTGTGTGTGTGTGTGTGTGTGTGTGTGTGTGTGTGTGTGTGTGTGTGTGGTCTATAAATCAGGATATCCAGTTGGATTGAAAGACTTTTCCTTCTTGGTTTTGTTAAGATGTGAGGAAAAGGGCAGGAGTGACTCATCCAGAGTGCATCTGAAGGGCAGCTGCTTTAGTTAAGGCCGACTTGCGCAGCTGTCTCTGTGCATTATTACTTCAAAGTTATTAATTCAAAGATTGGGGCTGCTGCTCAATCCTGACGCCTTAATTGTCGTCACAAGGCTTCCAGACGGCATTTCATGTTATTTTAGTTGGAGCCAGCTCCATCGTGGTAACACTCTGGAAGAGAGGGGAGATTCTCAGATTACCTGTAGAGATTTGGAAAATGCACAGCAAAGGAAAAATGTAATGCTTCCTCTGTTGTTTCATTTCACAATGTGATAGATTTGACTCTTTGTCCTGATCAACGAGACATGGATCCCATCGGTTATCCCTGTAGAGGTGAAATCGAGCTAAACAGGGTTGTTTACAAACACATGGTAATTATGTTTTGTGGACAGGCATCAGAGTAATGTGTTAGATTTAGTGGGGACCTAAATCATGTCGTATTTAAAAAGGAAAGATTTGATTATAACATGATTAGAGAAAAGCTGTTCAAAGTCTTAATTGTACACAAATAGGCAGAAGAAGAAGTTGAGTGTGCATCAAAACAAAAACATGTACCGGTACAAAGAAAGAGAAGACAGGAAAATGTATGAGACGGGAGTAGATGAAAGGGAGACAAAGTAAGCACTAGCAATTAGCAGACATACAAATATCCTGTCCTAATGAAGGGAGGAGTTATTCAAAAATAATCTAACAATGATCTGAACAAATCCAAACTTTGAGTGTGATCCAAAAGTCAGATTACAATAAATTGCATCAACAGTTTTAATTGTTTTCTAGATGAGGTCCTGCAGCCCTCACACATTTCCACTCCCGTCTTTTCTGCACTGTGTTTCTCTTCCAACTCTTAAATCAAACGTATTCCTGTGATCACACTAACAGAGCGACCTATCTGCAGTAGAGAAACTGTTGCACATGTTATCAATAAATGATCATTCCCAGGGCAGAAGAAAGAGAGAGATATTGAAGGGAGAAGGGGATGGAGAGTCTGGTGTCAGTTGAAAGAAACTGGAAAACGTGTCTCAAAGCAGCAGAAACCAAAGTGAGGGATGGTTGTGGGTGTTCAGGGAGAGAGGAGGGAGGTGTGAGGTGAGGATGGAAGAGGGAGAGGGGATTTGATCAGGTGATAAATGACGAATGAGAGAGGGATGAAGGGAAGGGAAACGAGAATAACAGAATCACAAGGGAGAGGGGAAAAAGGGTGTTAGTTAGAAAAACTGTTCAAAGTAAAGCATAAAGGAGGAATACAGTGAGAATTAGTTTTGCAAGGAAGGGAGACAACAATGAAAGGATGAAGACAAAGCATTCAGGAGAAATAAGTGAGAGAGAGTAGGAGGAATATCTTCCATATTCATCCCCTATCTTCCTCTGGGCTCTTCAGATGGCAGAGAAGAAAGATCGCTGCAGGAGTCTCTCTTTCTCCTGTCCTTCCCCTCATTCTGTATTCCTTTCTTCTTTCTCTCTCTCTGCAGGGTTTTTTCGTTTCGATTCTCTATTCAGCTTGTGATGTATGGAGATGGTTTCTCCCTGCACCCGTGTGCGGATAATGCTCACCTGCTCCAGGGTTATTGAATGTGTCCATGCTGCACATATTCTGCTGCTAGAGACATGCTCACACACACATTCACAATTACACAGTGTTTATGTATTCCTGAAAACGTCTTTGTATCAAGAAGTTTATTCTTAAGCTCCTAAATGGATCATTTGATTGATCTTTCCTCTCTGGGTTGTTGCTTAGCGCTTACAGTCCAATCATACATGATGTTGCATCCTATTGAGATTTGCAGAGCAGCAGTTATAGAGAGTCAAAGCTAAATGTTTTGAATGGTGTTCAGCCTCCATGCATTTATGTTTTTGGCGATTCTCTCAAAATAGAGAAGCAAGGACTTCTCTCTGTAGATTCTCCTGATTTTCATCCATTCAGCAGTTCTGTAGAGGGGGATCTGTTGCATAAGATATCTGCATCAACACAGTGGCCTCGGTGGACCGGTGGAGTGCACCCACGCTGTCAGTCTTCATGGATCACAAAGCCTTTTAAACCTCAACCACTGTTCTTTTTACTCCGTGCTGAAGAGAACAAAATACTGACCTAAGAAGAGGAAGACAAGTTGTACAGAATAATTAACCAGAAAGTTTCAGATGAATTGATGAACAATTCAAGTGTATGTATTTCCAATTCCGGATCTGGTTACAGAACACCTCATGGGGTGATTTCTGCTTATGTTTGATTTTCAAAATCTTGTAGAAATTGTAGATTCAAGGAGTTGCAAGATACATATGTGGCGTTGATGGTTAGAAAATAAATTGAGGAAAATTATCTCCACTAAAGAAAATTCTAACTTTGCATCTTTCTTGTGAAACTGGATAAATGAACTCCATGTAGCATCCCTTTTTGATTAAAGACTCAGCTCATATGTAACATTGCTTGAGGCAACAAGTGTGAAAGGCACGGTCTTACCGCATAGATCACTGTGGTTAGCCATCAAGAGACTCTCGAGGCTTGTATCTGTAATTCATCAACAGGCATACGTCTGACTTTCTCTGAAAATAAGTGTTTGCTAAATAGTGAAACTGTGATTCAACCCTTATGTAATCGGTCTTAGTTTCAGTAACATGCGGTTCTACGTTTGCTAAAGTGTGGAAACACAGAACTGAAATTACTGCTGCATTGGACAGAAAACAAAATGCAATTAGGAAGAATACTCACAGATAATCTTTCCTCCATGTTTCCTTCTCCTTCTTCGTTTTTCTACTTAGTAAGATAATCCATGTTTCCCTCTCATTTACAGCAGGCTGCGGATCTTTTGTTCTGAACGAGAGCCTCATTAGTTCCACTGCATTTGCCTGAAATGCCACTCTTTTCCACCACTATTAATGTGTCCTTCCTGCCCTTTCTCTTACTCATAGCCGAAAGCTATGGCTTTCTAACTAGCTGCACACACGGCAAGATCGTATTTTTTATTCAGTTGACTCTCCCGGGGGCAAAAGGAGAGAGTAATTCAGGAGACAGCAAGTTAATGCAATTATTTTAATTGCTGTGTGTTTCTATATGCAAAGAGGAAATATAATTGCTGTTTGGTGTTGGTTTGTGTTTGCACGTCACGGTGGCTTGAGTCACTGGCTTTGTAATTAAATCAATATTGTAACTTGCTGTTATTCATGTACGACTAATGTTGTTGGTTCAGTATTTGAACTTCCTATTTAATGATTCAATCCCGTCCACAGGATTGGCCGGGGAGCATCTCTGTAATTGGTCGGCCTGTCAGTTAGTAATTTAGTGTGGCTTGAAGGTATGAACAAATGAGTTATTAGCATTGTGAATGAAAACTCTGCTGGTGAATTATCAACAAAGCTACCAAGTTTTTAATGACTCTGACTGAGGCCACAACCAGTTAATTAATTTTGATTCCACTCCCTACAGAAAACTGATTTTCATTTCCAATCAAAGAGTGACAAACTTTTATCGCTGGAAAGTTGTGTTTCAGCCCGTAAAGAAATAATGAAGATGAATGCTCTGTTAACAGAAGATACAGTGCAGTTCATAATGACGTGTGATTGAATTTAGAGCGTATTGAACCCTCTTGTGGTGTGTTTACTCTGGAGTGAAGGGAAATCTTGCAAATAAACTAGGGTAAAGAGAGTGAAAGCGAAATGAAGTTGAGCGTTTCCTTTTGTGCATGCATGCTCATATATTATTACTATAGCATGCATGTGTGTATCATGGTGTCAGTGCTCAGTTCTTTGTGTGTGTTTGTGTGAGTGTCAGAGAGAGTATGAGCTAGACAAGAAATGTAAATCTGTCTCAAAGTGCTTTGTCAGCATGCATTTAAATGCTGTCTTATAGCGGTTATATAAGATTTTGTTTTCCTTTTGTGTGTGTAATCATAAGAGCACAGCGAGAGAGAGAGCAGGAAACAAGGACGATTTAACAGGGCAGAAAGGTGGAGTGAAGGATGAGTGAAGTGCAGCAGAGGAGAAGAGAAAGCCTCCAACGTCACACACTTTAATCCCTGCAGCTAGCGGGCCGCAGAGCACACACATAAACAGGTAGGAGAGCAGCGAAGCACATGTGAGAAAGGAAAAGGAAGGAGAGATTAGAGGAGAGGGAAGGAGCAGAAAGGAGGATACACCACAAGTGGAGTCAGCTAAATGAGTGTTTTGAGAACTGCAGTGTTTACCAACAACAAAGCTACTTCCTCAGGGTCCCTGGTTGGTATTTATCGTTATGGGATTAAGAATGTCCCGGCTCTTTGTGTGTGAACTGTCTCCTTAAAGCATGTGTGTTTAGACTTTAAAGCAGGGTGTACTATACTGTAAGGTCATCAAGCATCCATGTGTAGCGTTAAGCATCAATGGGTATCCATCTCTGTCATGCGTAAATACAAATTCAGTTGAAGGGTAAATATTTGCATTTTAGATTGTGAGATTTGAAACTGGCTAAATTATTAAAAACGGATCATATAGGTTTGCTCTGTGTTTGCCTGTGTGTGGCAACAACATTCTTTAATGTTGTATCTTATTCTGTCAGGAAGATTAGCTTCTGGGGAAATGAAGGCGCTACAAAGTTGCGGTGCGCATGTTTGATTTGTGGATAAGGAACGGTATATTCATGCTTACAGTATATACACATACACAGTTCCCAGAAGTAGCATAGTACAGCACATGTGATACAAGTGGTCTGCATATACATATAAATATATATATGTATATATATATATATATATTTATATACACATTTTATGTTGGTGGGACTGTGTCTTTAATGCTGGGATTATGTGTATTAGTTATGCTGCTCTGTATGTTGAAGTAGTGAGACTGGAATGGAGAGGAATTCATTGAAAATGGATGCCAAATAATATATACTCAGACACAAAAGCACGTATAACACACACACATGCTCACACACATGTTCAGGTAAACTGGAGCCATCCATAATGCACCTGAGAAAAATACTAAAATCATTTATGAGTTCTTGCTGGTTCAATTCATTTTTCTCACACACCTATTGATATAGCCATCATACTTGTTTACAGACACTGACTGGCGAAGCTCATTTGAATTATCTTGTTTATTTATTATCTTTCTTGTTGTCTGACGCCTGTGAGTGTGAAAGAGAGCAAGTGGACCACAGAGGTGATCTTTTTTCGTAGTCTTGCCATTACTGTGCATCGTTTATTTAAGAGTGTTTTTTTCTTTAAGGATGATTTGTATTCTCTGGGGGAGTATAGGGTGATCGGACTGTTGATAGAAGCAATCTAGCCGACGTATAACAAGAGAGTTTTTGCATTTTTGGCAGTAAATCATGATGTTTGGTCCAGGAGGAGCTGGATACAGGGCTGGGGGAAAGGATGCTACCTGGCATATCCTGCGCACACCCAATGACCTGGACAAGTTGCAATAAAGGAATAGATGATGCATTACGGTCACTAAACTAAGCAAGTTTTTCCTTTTCTCTTTCCTTTATAAAGACAATACTACCCTGATCCCCATCCAGTCCATGGAGTCCAGCTGATGAGAGTCGGAAAGCTGCAACATTACCTGGAACACATCGAGGACGCTTTGGACACCTTCAAACAGGTGAGGGAGGAAATGCTGATAAGAAGATATCACATTATCTTGTACACCTATAATCTTATTTGTTTACGTGTGTCCATCATTTTTATCAGTGATAACACTTTCCTCAACAAAGTGTTGCTGAAGTCTGGAGAATTGAGAGGAGAGATGTTATCAGACAGGTCTAAAAGTAGAAGGAATGACAGCAAAGACACAAGCTAGCAACATCTTGATCTAAGTCATAAAAAAACTACTCCCAGATAATTAGAAACCCTGATATTATTGCTTTGATAAACAAACACTTGATATTATTATTTAGTAGTTCGGTTTTGTTACCTACTGATCTATACTAGTAAACATTGGAAAAACGAATTTTCACATTTCCTTACCCTGGTTGTTCGGCTAACATGTGATAGCTACTGTAAGCTATTAGATTGAGTTGAAAGCTATAATGATGAGTTGCCTCCTTGTGAAATGCTTCTTTAATTGTAAAAGGAACAACTGAACCTGGAGCCAGACAGGATTGCATTAATGGTGTCTAGTGCAACTTTAAGTGTGTTCATTTTTCCTCTTGCAGGCGTTCAAGATTATAAAGCTCACGCACGGCGTTGATCACCCCATGACTACAGATCTGTTGATGAAGATGGAGGAATGTCGCAGTGAGCTGGACCAGAAATCCTCCAGCTGTCTCAGAATAGAAGAAAACTGAAACTGGACTACTTTGACTAATTTCACGTTGTCTTCTTATAGTCTTTACGTTATTAATGTATCAATCAATCAATCCCAATCATCAGATTGATGAAGATGAACAGAAATGTTTTACATGACCAAAGTGTGCTTTTTTGAAGATTTAATTCCGTAAATAAATATGAAATTCATCTCTCTGAGTTACTGTACGTTGGCGCTGAAACTGCTAGCATTCAATATGTACTGGAAGTAGAGGGAAAGAGATGGCCTTGATTTGTCCAAATGTAATAAAGAAATACCCCAACATATACATTACGTGTGTGTGTGTGTGTGTGTGTGTGTGTGTGTGTGTGTGTGTGTGTGTGTGTGTGTGTGTGTGTGTGTGTGTGTGTGTGTGTGTGTCAATGAGAGAGCTAATGGAGACCTGTAGGCATCTGTCTCCTGTGTTAATCTTAACATACCATCTCTCTGGGGATCTCATGTCCAAAGTTGTGTGTATCTGTGTGGGTGGGTGGGTGTTGTTTTAGTAAAGTAAGGTTTTCAAAACATCCATGTTTCCTCTATACATATCCATCACAGACACTTCCCATGTTTATCCATGTCTATGTGTGTTCAAAGTTAAACCAGTGTGTGTGTGAGATGGAATGTGGTGATGAGTTTCTCGCACACACACACTTCCCACGTTAATCCTAGAAATCTACTCTTTGCAAACTGATGACAGCATTTCCTCTGAGTGGTGGTTTGATTGTGTTTGTGTTTCTATAGGTTATGGGAGGATTAGAGTGACATTGTGTTAGATATTTAGATTGCTAAAAGATTGTTGCCTTTCTAAAACCTTTTAGTTGCCCCCCCCCACTGCAGTAGCCGACATGATAGTAGTGTGTAAATGTCCTGAAGTAAATTTTTCTCCGTTTCCGTATTCAGCATAAAAATGTGTGTATTCAAATTATATTGGAAGTCATCAATATTTAATGAATTACAGAAGTCACAGCAGTAGTAAGATATTTTAATGTACCTCCTTATATCATTGATAATAGTATCTGGAAAAGATTAAATGAATGTGAGGATTGAATGGAGGCAGTAATGAAACCAGAGGACTGAATGTCTGCTGTTCCTTCTCCCATTACTCACTTCTTTGGCTCTGTTGCTTTGTCTCTCACCCTCTCGCTTTCTCCTCTCTCACCTCTTAACAGCCATCAAATTACATTTACTTTTGCTTAAGCATAACCCTCTGTCTCTCTACTCTGTCACCCGCCGTCTCTCTCCCCCATTTTCTGTCCCTCTCACTCCCCAAAGGCGTTCAAATTAAACTCACTATTCATCTTCTCCTCTCTCTCCTCTCTCGCTGTGTCTCTGCAGGCGGCCTGAGTAAATCACAAAAAGGACATCGAGTGGCTTTAACCCATCTTCATCCACTCGCCCTCCTGCTTTTTGCTCTCCCACATTTCCAATTTTCACTCATGTTGAGGAGACCCTCTCTCTTTCTGTGTGTCTCCACCTCACCTTTAGGCTCTCTTTACTCTTTTCCTGCTATCATGTCTCACTTTCTGTCTCTGCTTCTATATCGTGGGCCCTTATTTAAAGGGGACCTATCATGCAAAATGCACTTTTGTACGTCTTTTATACATGAATATGTTTCCCCGGTGTGTCAGGGAACTCACCAAGTGTCAGAAAACACAACCCTCTCTCTTTTCCTCCGTACCCAAATCTCTGAAAACGGGGCTGCAACGGATCTGATACAGACTGATCCAGATTTGAAATATCTCTGACGTCAGAAACGAGGAACTCCGCCTATATGGGCAACTCTCCACCAATCAGGGGAATGAGAGGTTGTGTGGCATGGTAACAGCATGGTAACAGCATGGTAACAGCATGGTAACATGACACTCGTGCCTCGCCCCCCTCCTTTGCAAGGGGGCGTGGTCAGCTGCAGCTCTTGCCACAGAATCAGCCCTTGTGAAGACAGGGCTGGAATAGAGCGAAATGAGGCATGGCTAAGATCTGTTTGGTATTTTGAAAAAAAAACTTCACTTTTTTTTTTTATATAGGTATGGCCCTACAATATATTACTCAAATATAGCATGATAGGTCCACTTTAATTCTTCATCTCTATTACAAATGTAAACACTGAGTCCTCTTTCAAGACACAGGACTTGAGCGTCCTCTCACCCAAATTGAATGTCTCATAATATAAGGATTTACTTTTTATGACATTGAAATCTGGTTTTCTTAATCTGTTTAATGTGTTTAGAGCATATTTTAATCTGTATATCAAATGTTACATTATTACTTCTGATTATGACACTTCATTAAACTACAGCTTGATCATGTATGGCCCAGAATCACCTGTAGAATTTGAAATGTTCCTCCAAGCTGCTGATTTACACAAAGAGACGCTTCTGTTTCAAGTTTTAATAAGAGCCAGAGACGGTAGATTTTATCCCCGGTATCGTTTCAGGATTATCTCCCTGTGCTTCAGTGATGAGGAGTTGATATATTAACAGTTCTTCTTGAGTAATATCACCTTGAAATGAAAAAGAGAGATAAAACCTATCTCAGTGTAAACCCCACATCTTCACCATGTCTCCATCACCCCTCCTTCTGTCTTTCCTCTTCAAATTTGCTTCATAATCAGAGCAGGCTCTTAAAATCAGAGCGCTGTGGAGCTGAAGAGGAACCGCCTCTGATGCAGCTTCCTGGACACAATCAAGTTTCTTGATTGTCTTGTTAGGGTGGTTTAGGGAATTGGGTCTTTCTGTCCTTTATTTGCTCAGTCTACCACTTTTCTTTGGACTGGATAATTGCTTTGACATTTGTTCATGGTCCCAAAAGAAAGACTCTTAACTGATTTTGTGAATCCCAGACTTTAGCGCCAATAAGTGTTTGACAAAAGTGATTGAATGGATTGCCATATCATTTGTTGCCATGTAATCTAGCACAGACATTCATATTCCCATCAGAATTATTTGTCATCATATTGGTTTCCACTTCACTCTCATTTAGCTGCATCATAAAGTCACATTTTGGCCAATTTGTTTGGCTTTGGTTTGTGATTTGAAATGTTCTTATTAGCCTTAGATGAACTTTGGGTGTAGTGCTACTTGGCAGACACCAACAATCTGAAGCACAGCTGAAACTGTGCGCATGGCAATATTGCCAATACTGCTGTTGGCATTTACCTCTGCTGTTCAATTTCATGAAGCAGTTCATGTTATTAGTTATTTTTCAAATGCTAATCATTTTATAAGCTGAGTTAAACATGTTCAGCTAACTTGTTGATTTACAAATGTACTCACCGAGTTAGCTGGTGTTGTGAAATCTCTTTACATGTTAGAAGTAAATTATATTCTAAACGTGACCCATCTTAAAACATATTTGCTTTGCTTACTGTGTTTCTGCTTCAAACTTGAGTTGCTTGAACTGTTTGCTTGATAATAACAGAGAGACATCAAATAGAAGTAGATATAATTCATGTTAACATTCAAGAGGTAAGTGGGATGAACAAATACATATTTTATTCGAGAAATGAAGAATAAACCTTTAAGTGCAGTGTATTCAAGTTATCTAAATCCAAACAGACAACTGATTACCAGTGGCTATTTTAAGCTGAGTGGACCTGACAATTAGCAAACCAGGAACCAATCTCTGCAACAACAACGGAGAACATTATAGCAAGGAAATAAGTCTCTTGAGAAACTCTTGCCTGAGGTGAAGGATTCTAGTGGTATGGTGAGTTCAGAAAAGAGAGTAATAGTCAATTTGTCGAGCGATGATAGCGTATTATTCGACCAAAATGAGTCCTAGTGTGTTCCTTTTTAGAACTTCCACTTGTCTCCATATTGTGTCTTACCTAACCTCGCCCATCTCATTTCTCCAGCAGCTCTTCCACACGTCTCTCTCTCTCCTCCCTTAAATGTAATCTTTTACTCCTTTTTTCTCCTTCTCCCCCCGCATTTCCCTTTGTGCCAGCTGTATCCTCTCTTCTCTCATCTATTATCTCCTGCTCTCTCATGCCTCCCCTCACCTCCTTCCTGTTCCCTGCTGTGCGTGGCTGATCAAAGCCGGCTCAACAGGGCAATATGTCACCTAGGAAGCAGCCTACAGGCTACTGAAGGTACACACACACACACACACACACACACACACACACACACACACACACACACACACACACACACACACACACACACACACACACATACCATGTATACATCACTTCAGGGGACATTACATTGACTTACATGCATTTCCCGGAGACTTATCCTAACCTTAACCATAACCAACACATGCCTAACCCTAACCCTAACCCCAACCCTTACCCTAACCTTACCCTAACCCTAACACTAATCCTAAACCTAATCAAGTCTTCACCCTAAAATTAATGATTCCCCTCATGGGGACCTCCAATTTGTCCCCATAAGGGAAGCCAGTCCCCACATGTGACTGTGTAAACAGATTTAGGTCCCAACAAGTATAGTAATGCTAGGCCACACACACACACACTGGAAAATAGTTGATGATAGTACAAAACAGGCACACAATGTAAAAGCCTATTACCTTCCCTTGAAGTATGGTAATGTCCAACATGTTTCTTAATGCTCCACTATATTTTTCATTTACAAATATTGTATAATTATATTTTTGAAAGATATGTCATTGTTTAAGGAAACTTTAGATCAGATTGTGCACACACAAAACGATCTTTCCTCATAACTGGAACTGTAACCATTTGGCTGCTGCACATGAACACAAAAACAAATCCTATAGGCGGTCCTGAACATTAGAGGATATAGCTCAAAAATAAAATGTTCCTCTTATTTATTTAATTAAAATGTGGAGTAAAATGTCTTGTTTTATATTTCAGTAGAAGTTGTTAAGCTGGTGAAAAGGTCACTGAACAAAGGGCCTGCTTGTTCTGCCAGGTGCTTTGTTAACAGCGGCCTCAGATTGATATAAATGAGACGCAAATGTTCTTTGGCATGGATACAATTGTTATATAGTCTTCATGTAGGGAGGCTGTGGCGCAGTGGTCTAGTGCGTAGGTGTTTGGATCAGGGGAGCACAGGTTCAAACCCCACTGCAGTCAGCATGTTGTGTCACTGGGAAGGCACTTCCCCCCAAATTGCTCCTATGGGGATTGTCCACAGTATTGAGTATGTAAGTCACTTTGGATAAAAGCTTCTAACATGTAATGTATGAATGACTTGTAGGTTGTATAGAGCCTCTCGGTGTCTGCTGGTGAGCAATCTTTCAGGAGATCTTTTAAATATGTCAACATGTTGGCATTTCATTAAGTTTTGGACAGGAGGTCGGGCTCGTTCTTTGTTGTCTATTTAAACATAAAATAATGAAGAATCGGATGGGAAACTCTTTCAATACATTTCTTTATTTACATCCCTCCATCTTGCTCTTCCATCAACACAATGTGTCAGACCACATTTCTCAGGAACAGTAAATCTGTAGAGCATGTTATAATCGTAGTTTCTAATCATTTGAACACACACACAGTGAAAATCTGACACGTCATATTCTCAGGTTTGCACTGAGTGTGTTGCAGCGCTGGCTAAATCTCAGAGGAAATACCTTTTTCTTCGTCTTAACAGATTGCCCTTCAAACTGAAACAGTAATTGGTTTGAATCAGTTTTGTAGAGATTGTAACCGCTCTGTCTTAAAACATTTCTTACTGCTACAGATCAAATGAATTTGTGGGAAATGTGGTCTGATCCATACTTTAACATACAATTCTCCCTAAAATCTTAAAGATGCTACGTGTAAGTTTTCCAAATAACACATCAATCTTGAGCGCTCTAGGAAGACACAGTTATGTTGTTCATTAGACTGCGTGCTTGTAGTGTTTTATACCCTAATCCTGATGAAACAGATGCCATTTTGTTGATAATTTATTTAAAGCACCTGACAATGAGCGATCCCTTTTAGCAGTTTCTTCAGATGAAAAAGCTTTTTATTTCTGAAAGCTTTATGTGATCTATTATGGTAGCTATAAACAATATGGGGCCGTTACAATTATTGCTAGGATTATAAAGGGCTTCCTCATTAAATGTGGCAGTGAAGCGTCAAGGATGAAACCTCACACATAGCATCTTAAATCTGGAAACAAGTACCGTCCATTTAGCTCATCTAGAGGTTGGGGTTCCCAAAACATCCACTGCAAATTTCACAAGGCTTAAGATAATACTGTATTATATACTGACATGAAAACATTCTGATCATTTTGCTCTGGAACAACACATCTACCCTGGATGTTTTAGGAAACCCAAATCCCATTCAAATCTCCAGCAGGAACAACAGGAGCAAACAAAACCAACAGAAAATATATAAAATAAAAATGAGCGTATATATGATATGTGTACAGTATATATATTTATATGACATGGGCTCAGCAAAGTATGTACAGTTATTTTTTCTTAAATGCATAGTAACTTTTAAGATCATAAGGTGTAAATAAATAAGAACATTGATAAGCGACCCTGCTCTCTCCTGAGCTCAAATAAATAAACCTTCATTCATGACTGGCAGGGGGATCTGGGAGATAAAAACAGGAAGCGTTCGCAGGAGGTGAAACAGGGCTCCCTCCCTCACCTCGAGTGAAATCGCTTCTTAGGTCCAGTCTGTCAAAAGCATCTCAGTTTCGGGGTTCATTTCCCGCAGCATTATCCATATGCTGTCACTGAAGGTGTACAGCAAATTAAATAGTGTAATGACGTTAAAAATCATTTCCTGTATCTGGAAAAAGATACTTTTAGCACCAAGATGTCTTTTGACAAGTTATACCAATATCTTTACAGTCGGTTTCTTTTTCTCTTTTTACCTCTCAGACAACAAACAGGATCTCCCAGAATGCTCTCTGCTTGCAGACTAAAGGCGTTCAGAGGGAGAATGAGGACAGACGTGAGGACAGACGTGAGGACAGACGTGAGGACAGACGTGAGGACAGACGTGAGGACAGACGTGAGGACAGACGTGATGACAGACGTGATGACAGACGTGAGGACAGACGTGAGGACAGACGTGAGGACAGACGTGAGGACAGACGTGATGACAGACGTGAGGACAGACGTGAGGACAGACGTGATGACAGACGATAGGACAGACGTGAGGACAGACGTGAGGACAGACGTGAGGACAGACGTGATGACAGACGTGATGACAGACGTGAGGACAGACGTGAGGACAGCGATGTAGAAGAAGCATTCGAAGGGTATGGTTCTGGAGGGAAACAGGCTCTTTTTTATATTTATATTTGTACAAACATTTAGATCATAAACATCTCAAGCACCATAGATAATGATATTAACAAATTGTTGCTAGCCGTCCAAACAAATGGAACCAGGCAGAGATCTATGCCTTTCATTTAGTCACCCTCCTTTTCTTTAGTTCTCTTTCAGTCCTTTATATATTTATTTTAAATTGTTCTTTTATAAAGTCTGTCTCCTTTAAATAAAAGACAAACTGGAATTATATAAAAAGTTTGTTATTGTCGTTTCAAGTGAGTAATTCTTTAATTCACTACTTTGTTCCAATAATACAGGTCTTAAGAAGTATAATTATCCTGCATCTTCCTCACAATTTTGTCTTAAATATCTCTTTTTGTATTCTCTTTCTAAAATACATATTCTCCACGTGGTCCCATTGCACTCAAATAAAAAAAGAAAACCTTAATATAAAACACACACGTTGACAAATCATTCATTTTCTTTTAGAATAGAGCAGAACAACACGGATACAAATAACAGACGGTCTGCGTGTCAGTCAGTCCGACACTCGATGGATGAACTTCACACTGGAGCAGAGAAAACTCATTTCCATTTCCTCTCCTGTGTGACTCAGACGTTTCATTGCTTTGTGAACATGAACAAGCCATCACATCTGTATCTGGGGAGACATGCTGTATGTAAGCCCCCGAGGGTCAACATTCAGATGTGCTCTATTTGTGGGGAAAGTCAAAAACAACCGCACAAGAAACTAGTGTTTTTTTAAAATCTTATTTCAAACACACATTTCTCTGTGTCCTGGAAAAATCATGTACTTTTTTTGTTATGGGATTTTTGGTCCTTGCACCATTTAAAAAGACAATGTGTCCATGTCCATCTTCTGTAGGTCTATTTTAGTTAGGGATCCAGTTGAGTCTCACCTCTCATCAGTGTACCAAAGACCATACAAACAAACACTATTGGTTATGATATAGTGAAACAACAACCCACAGTAGAACATCACATTCAAAGATTGCTATAGATTCAAAGATTTTCCAAGCACACTGATCTTTGTGGCCTTTTTTTTTCTATGCTAGCACCATACTTACTGCAAGTACACAAATTCAGTGAGAAATAGAATTGGTATTGATGAATTGTTCACAAGGCACTTATCTAAATCATTTCCTTTGTCCTCCTGTCTTTCTCTTGGTCATTTTCTCATTATTAACTGCACAACAATACCATGCTGCAGTCAATGGCTCTCAACTGCGTGATCTAAAAAGTGCTCTTCTAAAACGGTGGGAGAAATTGTTCTTCTCCTCGGCGGCTTTGTTTAGAAAAAAATGGCAGTTTTTTGTTCCTCTCTCGACTACTTTCCTCTCCATACATTCCCAAATGTTCGACTCAGTCTTAGAGGTGTCTAATTATTCACTGGTCCTGGTTACGTTTGATCTTTCTTTTCAGACCCAGAGCCATGTATCCGCTTCAGCCATATTCATCTGGTTCAAAGTAGCCCGTTCAATAGATGCTGTTCAAAGGTTATTTCTGAGGTGGTTTTTTTCAAGCCCCAAGAAAAGAAAATCTATAAACGTATCCGTCTGCTGGTCTGTTAAATATCTGTAAATATCTCTATTTCTTCCATCTCTCTGTCCTTCTGCTACTTACATCTGGAGGAGGATGAGAGGTCGGTCCGCCCCTGTATCCTTCTTACAACCATTCAATAATATCCATTAAGAAGATATCGAGTTATTGGTGGGGAAAGGGTGAGTCTAATTGAGTCCAGCTGTGTCTGCGTCTCTCTCTCCTCCAGCTCTCCGTCCCTCCATCGTCTACCGGTTTCTGGAGGACACGTCGAAGCAGGTGATCATCATCAGGTGGGATTTGCAGAAGTTGACTCTAGTCTCCAGTTTGTCCGTCACGGTCTCCAGAGCCTCCAAATACTCCAGTGAGTCAACTTCGTGGGTCGGCTGTATCTCAACTGCACGTGGAAATACAGGCAGAGATATGACGTTGAAACCCACTGCAATACTTTGATTATGAGTTACTGATTTTAAAAGTCTGGTGATCTTTCTTAATGTCAGCAAATTCCATTGAAACACCAAAACCAACGATTCATTTATCACTCAGTTCTTACAAGAACCCTGAGATTGTGTATCCAAAGCCTAATAGTATTCCTCCACATCAATGAGCCATGCTACTGCACTGCATGACATGATTATTCATTAAAATGAACACAGAAATTATTTTGATTTAATACCACCTACACATGTGTCCATAAATAACTAACCAAAGCAACAACTGTGTTATCTGCAGCTGGATATATTCCCCGACAAATGAGCGAGAACTACACTTCAACATTTGGATGGATCCAATGGTTTTGGCTCCACACACCGATTAGGAAAGTAGTTATTGAATGGGACTAAGACTTTGTTGGTCTTGGTGTCTTCATTGGATTTGTTTACATGATGAAAAATATTGAATTAAACCAGCCTTTCACTTCCTTTTAGACAGCAAATTGTTGTGCTATATAAAATAGGTGTTATAGGAGTTATTCCCAAGCTTTTTAACCAAACAAATGTTAATGCTTTTCAATTTCAACAACAGGCAAGAAACATTTGAGCCATGATTCTTAAAATCTACTGAACCCAGTACCATACCCAGTCAATTAGTTTACACACACACACACGGAAAATGATTGTATTAAACAACACTCAATTCATGAAAATGAGAGTTGAATGGCTCCAGTATATTGTGTTTCTGTAAACGAGGAAACATGGAAACATGGATGTTTTGAAAACCTTACTTTTCTAAAACCACACACACACACACACACACACACACACACACACACACACACACACACACACACACACACACACACACACACACACACACACACACACACACACACACACACACACACACACACACACACACACACACACACACACACACACACACACACACACACACACACACACACCACCACACACACACACACACACACACACACACACACACACACACACAGATACATACAGGCACGCACACACACAGATACACACACACACACAGGCACACACACACACACACACACACACACACACACACACACACACACACACACACACACACCCTGTTGTGTCAGAGTGCTACTTACACTCGCTGGTCCATTTGTGCGGCTCCAGCATCAGGTGCTGCTTGGTTTGTTCCAGCTCTTTCTTCAGACACTGGTACTTTGCTCTGACTTCAGTGATTCTCTGCTGACGGTTCTCCAACACCCGCAGCTTGGCGCTGACGTACACCACCTCCTGACACACACACACAGGAAAGACAGGATGATGTGGATTTTATTGACCTATTTATCTTGGGGAGTGTGTTGTGAAACACATGTGGCTCTCTTTTAGCATTAACACTCACACAGTCTCATACATTCACACCTCATCGAGCCTCGTGGACACCGAGCAGCTTCACTGGAGCAGTTGGGGGTTAAGTGGCTTTCTTACGACCTGCTGTAGGGAAAATCTATATTTCATGCTTTTCTCTCCCACACTTTTCCCAAAGCTCACAGTGCTCCCTCCTCTGAATACATAACGGTTTAAGAGTGGAGACACAGAAACCTGCACCGTGCATTTCTTTTGCAATTTTACGAGTTTCACAATACTTCTCTGTATTCTGCTGAATCTAGGGATTTTTTTATGAATAACTTCTAAAATGAAGAACCACAGAGGGATGAATAATGTAGATTTATTGAAAAGAAAAGCTCACTATTCAGAACGCAGGGCTAATGTTGATTCATTCATTTTGTGAAAAGTCTACACTGCTGTAATCCTTATAGACAAATACGTCATTCAGCTGAGATCCCTTTGTCCCTGTCTCTTCTTCTCCAGCTTCCTCCTGTAGCAACAGTGTCCAGCAGAACCCTTATTGCTTTTTAATGTCTCCCACTACTGTTATTCATCAAATCAATTTCTCTGACATCAAGTGCAATATGCCTGCTGCCCTCTGGGCCTCTGTCTGCTCCTTTGCTCTCCACCTTCTTTAATTCTCTTCACACATCCATTCCTCATTCCCCCTCGCCCTGCCTCCATACGGTATATTCTCCTCACACACATTCTCCTTTCTTTAACCCTTTCCTGCTTGTCTCCCCTTTCTTCAAAACAGTATTTCACACTGTTACTCTCTTTTTATCCCTCCTTTCCCCTTTTTTATAGCCTTATTTTTCCCATACTCCCTTAAAGGTGGGGTATGTCATTTATTTCAGAAACACTTTTTGTTATATTCCATGGAATGCTCTTAACATCCCGATAGCAATGAATATATTAAATGCTTTGACAAAAAATCCATTAAAAAAAGTCATCTGTGGAAGCCGTGGCGCTGTAAAAAGCACGACCAATCATCTGAGCCGGCCCGGCTAAAATAACTGGATGGCCTACCTGCCTGTCAGCCTTCCATCTGTGCACAAATGTATCTTGTGCCCTCATTGGTCATGTGCGCGTTCATGTGTGTTTGGAGGCGGGGCTCTGTAAGGAAGTGGCAGATTTTCTCCGGTTGTGTATTTTCAAATTCTAGCGCACTCAAGCTGGTTTCTCCAAAATTACCTACCCCACCTCTAAATGTTATTTTATGTATGTAAATTAGTTTTTTTTTCTCATTTAGGATAATACATTTTAGTCCAATTACTCACAAAGTCACAGCCTTCTTTACTTGTACAGCCTGTAGAAACAGCCTCTGGTTCAACTAGAGCCGTCTAAATGCTAACAACCACAACAACATGGGGAGATATTTGGTGAAAAAGTGTATTTTTGGAAGGGGGTTTGTAAACATCCTTTCTGCATTTTCTTTCAGGTGGATACACCTTACAAACTAAAGCCCAAATAAAAGGTTGGAAACATTAGAATGCTCCAGCTGCAGTAGGTTAAGTCTCTCTCTCCTTCCTCCTCTCTCATGAATCACCTCTCTCACCTTGCTCCCTCCTTTGTTCCTCTTCTGCAGTCGCTCGACGTCATCTATCTCGTACACCTTGATCTCGAAGGTTTCTGTCGTGGCAGCCGGGCCCCGGAGGTTTGAGGGAGCCGGGGGCCCCAGTGGGCCATCTACCCAGCATGCACCTGGGCTAGAGGAGGACGAAGAAGATGATGTGACGGCCTGCTTGGAGGAGCGGTGAGAGGGTGAGGAGGAGGAAGAGTCCAAGGTCAGCGCTGGGATCAGACGACGACGCTGCAGACCTGTAAGAAGAAATAAGACAATAAAACATTGTTAAACCACCAGAGTTTATAGAAACACAATATACTGTAAAAAAATACAATAAACTCTCATTTTCATGAATTGAGTGTTGTTTAATATAATCATTATACGTCAAATAATCTGACAACAAATAGGTATTTCAAATGTTTCTTCAAGGGCATCTTCGTGCATTAGCCAGTGTCTATTCCTCATCAAATATACAGTATAGTAAAACTCCGTCTTTCAACTGACTAAATAGCCATTTGTATATTAACCATAAACATGTTTGCTACACCATGCAAACTGCTGTAGCATTTACTACTGAACTACATTAGAGCATGGACACATGGATTTTTAAAAGCAGAACATTGCAAGGTGAGAAAAGAGATGGTGGGTGGTAGAGGAAAGAGAGGATATGGATGAATGGCTGGAGGGAGGGAGAAAGGATGGGACAAAAGAAAGGTATTGAGTGATTGAAAAAGTAGAAAGGGAACCAGAAACAGATAATGGAGTGTGAAGCCAGATCAAAAGTTGAGTCTCATTTCATGAAGCTCACAGATAAGAGCAGCAGGTCACTCTCTAATCTGCCCACTGCTCTACAACGAGCACACACACTCATACCTGCATACACGCTTTGAATAAAAATTGCCAGCCATGTAGGAATGAGAGTTATCAGATCCACCGGGAACTGAGAGATAAGGTGAGGAAAGTGGGGATTTGAATAGGGTTGCAGCTGTCTTTGGGTTTCATTGTGGCACAGAAAGGTCAAGCAGGAACATTTGTATTTCATTACCTGGTTGGAAGAGGAATATAAGAGGAGAAAGAATGAGAGTCTGCAGGGTGGAGAACATGCAAGGGGAGAGCAATATGAAAAAAGATGAGGAAAGGTAGAGACACGGTAGACATTTTGAGAGAGCATTAGTGAATCCAATCTAATGGAAATCAAGGGAGACTCTGCTCGAGAGATGTGATTACAATTCGGTCGCATCTTTACACATTTATTTAGTCTGCGACACATCTGTCCCTTCTTCATTTTTATATTTTGACTTCCTCAATTACGACAGAATTTCTGCATACATCTAAAACATGTGCACGGGTAATCCTTCCTGTAGTCCTGCAACAGTTTGACAGTGAAGCTCTCTTTGAAGCACAGAATCAGTTGCAAGGCTGCTTTCTACACACATGGGTGGAAATGGTTACTCCAATTTTAATTAACAATCAGAGACACACCTGGAAGTGCTGCGTCTGTCCAATCTGATTTTATGCGCATATCCATCCTCGTGGTTAACCAGCAGAGTGTAATTTGACGGGCACACTAGCAGCCTCTGTGTGCTGTTCTGCTGAATATATATTCATTACAGCCACACCCGCAGATTCCCCTCACCATTTCACAGATGAGTGGTCAGGGTCACCTTTCCTACCTGCAACCTACTTTAGCAGCTGCAGCTTCCTTCACTTTTCCCTGACCTGTTCATTGCTTTCTCATTGTGCATTTTTGCCAATGAATTCTCGTCACAGAGGTCTTTGGCAACGATTTGTATCAATTATATCTTCATTTCTTTTTTATTTAGCTGCCTTCTGATCACATTGGGTCAAAGCTTTCACCTCTAAAGATGAAGTGTTCATATTTGGATTTGTTATTTTGATTGTGTTCAGTGATTGAGATGTTACTGTAATTCTTTTTTTGAAAACTAACCATGAAAACTGTGCTTGCCTTTATTTGTTATAGGTCCATGACTTTCAAGTGTTATTGAAATGGCACTCATAGTTTTGTCATATCTATTTTGAGTGGTGCTTCAGCTCTACTGATTAAGGCAAACGTTCCCCTCTACAAATAGTAAGCACTCAATTTGCCATCCTACATGGAACTCCATAATCCAGTTACAGGGAAATACCATAAAGCAAATAATACAATGTTAAATAGTGACCTGTGTTGCTCCTGCTCTTCTTGCTGCTCTTGGAGCTCCGCCTGGAGGAGGTGGTGGCCGAGCTGTGCTCACTGAGGGAGTCCTGGGCGGAGGACGTACTTCCTGTGTTCTCGCTGCTGTCTCTCAGCATGCTCTCATAGCCGCTGCTGCCCCCGCTGTGGTAGAACAGGGCTGTCTTCCCCATGGCCGGGGGGAGCTCTCCACTCAGTACGCTGCTGTAAGGGTCAGATCACAGTTAAGTAAGTGAAGCAGCAAAATGTGACACATCTAAGTGTTCACATTTATAAATGAACTTGAGATCATACCTGTTGTCACTCGCATGGCCACTGCTGCAGCGCTGGGGCTTTCTGGGCGCTGTGATCTTGCTGTAGGGGGAGGGCAGCGTTTGGACCACGGCTGCCTTCTCCTCCCCCCCCACGCTGCTACCTGCACCTCCACCTGCACCTCCACCACTACCCCCACTTACTGCTACAGCTCCCCCTCCACTGAGAACAGAAACATATATACATTTAATCCATGAACAAATTATTAATTTACTACACTTTAATGGAATTTTGCCTTTTTAGATGAAACATTGACAGTGGATCAGAGAGAATGAGATCCTGAGGAAATTATTATGCCAGCTCTGGAATTGATGATATTCATATGACACATGAATGGTGTGTACTGTCTAAAACTACCACTTTACTGTAATGATATTATATAATATGAAGTGCTTTACGAGTCTTGCACTTTGTATAATTTACTTTAGGATATCACACTTAATGCTTTAAAAGGTAAGTAAAAGTTAAACTGACTAACCTTGCCCCTGCAGCTCCTCTCTCCTCTGCTGGATCAGTGCCTCCTCCCTGGGCATGACTCCTGGAACGAGAGCCTGCACTTCCCTGGAGGAGCTCTGAGATTCGACCGTTGACAGCCCGGAGAGGCAGCTTGGCAGACAGGCTTACCCCCCTGCTGCGACTCAGAGACTGGGTGGACCAGGACACAGGGGAGGGTCCCTGCTGCTGCTGCTGCTGCTGCTGCTGCTGCTGCTGCGGCTGAGGAGTGGGCGGGACCAAGCTCTGGGGCTGAGGAAACAGATAAACAGCTTAGATGGATGGAAGGACAAATGAGACCATGACAACTTGAATTACATGCATTGAGTTATTGATTTAAAAACTGCCAAAGTAGGAAGACGTCATTAAAACTCTGCCACTCTTCTAGTCTGATGAGTTGAGCCATGTTGTTGACAGGTGTAAACAGTCTTATCTCAAAGAAAGAAATGATCCTGCCTACCTTTACAATAGGGGGAAGGCTGGAGCTGCGGCTGGAGGCTTGGCTCAAAGACTTGGTGGAGAAGCTCAGTGTTTTGGTGCTGGACGAAGACAGACTCCTGGTTTTGGGACTGCTGGTCATCAGCAGCTTACTGACCGCTGAGATCTTTGACTGGCCGCTGGATTTGGCGGGTGACTGCGAGGCGCTGCCGGGACTGGCGCTGAAACCGGGGCTGCCAGCGTTTCCACTGGGAGAAGATACTGATCCAGCCCGGGTCAGGCTGCGCCCAGTACGAGGCATGGTGCTGTCCCCCTTTACTCCTCCTCCCCCTCTCAGGCTCCCCCCTCTCTCCAGAGAGAAGCAGTCATAGTGGTGGGATCCACTGTGGGAGCTGTTCACCCGACCCAGAGAGTTGGTTCTGTTTGCAAGCTGTTCCAACTTGGCGCTGAAAAGTCTGCTGCTGTCTATGCTGGAGCCTCGTAGTCTGGAGATCTCTGTATCATCTGCTGAGCTGCCCAGAAACAAGCCTCCATAGCTGGGCTGGGGGAGAGGGCTGACTGCTCGGTTCCTCTGGTCGAGACTGGACTTCCTTATCGGTGGCAGAGGTGGGATCCCCCCCTTCCTGTGGGAGAAAAAGCCCTGTTTCCCCGTTGATCCTCTGCGGTCAAGTGTGGCTCTGGGACTGCAGGGAGTGGAAGAGGTGACTCCAAGATGTCGGTACTCCGTCCCAATGTCCAGGCCGTCGTGGCGGTTGAGGCGGTGCCAGCCGCGGGGGAGGCTGGCTGTACGGTGGACGTCTGGGCTGTAGAAACCAGTCAGGCATTCTCCCTGAGGAGCGACCACCACCATCTCACAGCCGTCCACCACCCTCTTAAAGAAATCTGGAGACGACACAACCTCAACACCTGGACTATAGCCGCCACGATAACCACCTGGTGATGGAAGAATAGAAATAACACAGACTTAATCCTGCAAATATTTTACCTCGAAACAACATTTTTTTCCATCAGGCCCAACTGGCGTCAACAAAGACAGAAGACCTCTATAATCGTTTTTTTCAGGTGGAAATACCTCCACTTCCTTAGTGCTACCAAAGTTGATCATCAATATCTTTAGTAAGAGCTGTAACTAGAGACGGCAGTTTCCAAACTAACATTTACAAAAACAATCCTTTTTCAAGCCTTTGTCACTTATAGATGTACTAATAATATGAATATTATTTATTAACATTTATTTGCTTAAAAGTAACATATCTAATAATTATTGTGAATATCTGAATGAGACTGGCCTTGCTTGATGTTAGATTCCTGGCCTGAAATAAAATCTGGTCTGGCCCTCTTACCATCCTTGCAGAACCCTCGTTGGTCTCCTGTCACAGCTCCAGTCTGGAGCTTTGAAAGCTCGACCTCCCTCTTCTCCGGCTTCACTTCACACACCAGCTCCCTGGACTTCCTCTCCTCCATGCCACGCTTCAACCAGGGGTCCTCAAAGCTCATGTCACTGGAAATAGAAGCTAGAAGTGGTGCAGTGAATTTGTCTTTCATTAGGCTGGCCTTGGTGGGTGAAGACAGGATGGTTGGTTCCTGTATGACCATGGGTTTGACAGCCACACAGGGGTGCACACTGATGCTGGGCTTGAAGGGGGAGAAGTACCCCGGACCGGCCAGGATTTGGATGTTAGTTTTAGCCATGGAGGGAGGCAGTTTCCTCCGCCTGTCTTTCGTTGGAGTTGCCTTATCACACGTATTTTCTGACAGGACCACCTCTCCGTCCAGACTCCCTCTTCTCGGGCTGCCACAGCTCTCGTACCCACCCGGCCCCTCCGCCCCGAGCACCTGGCTCTGGGCGGGCTCAGGTTCAGCCAGGGCCTCCCCTTGCTGGCTCTGGGACTGACTGAAGCTGTGGATGGACTGGTCCGCCTCACTGGCCATGCTCAGGTCACTCATCCAGGAGGAAATGGGTGAACCACAGCGTGATATCACTGTGGCCAAAGCTTCACCTTCGATCCGCAGCTTGGCCATGGCCACCTGCAACAGGATACAACTCAATTGGACAAGGTTGCTTGATAACAACTATGTAGTAAAAAAGGGCAGCCATTGGGGTTTTATTTTGTACATTTTGGCCTCTAAAGATTATTTTTGTAATATTATTATTATTCATTTGAAATAAACCATCTTTAAATGACTAAAACAATTGTTTTATTGCCATTTTCACTTGAAAACATTTGTTGATCAATTAGTTACCCAAGTTACCCAAGGCTATTATTTTTCTGTCAATCGAATAATTGACAAGTTGTTGAAACCCTAATGGAAGTGTGTAAAAACTGTGTGATTCATCAATGCAGCAAACTAAATGTGATGTAACTGTAAGCATCCAGATGATCTAGAACACTTAAGGAAAAAAGTCTCTATCATATGGGAATTGTAATCTAAACTCGGATTAAAAAGGTAGACATTTTATCATACTATAACTGTCGATTAAATTATTAGTTTATAGACACCAAAAATTGAGTCACTTTGTCAATCGGCCAATGAAATGAGACAACATTTCTCATTAGTTTTCAGTTGCAGCAATGATGGATCCAGAACCCTTATCTTAAGCCTTTGTTTTGGTGGGTATTGTTATGTGTTTGTTTTTTACATTCAAAATATCTTGAAATCCATAGTGAGGACATATGTTTTAGGTAAGGACAGATGTCCACATGTTAATTTCCTTAGTTGCTGTAAATGTGAGTCGGTCCCTCTAACCTCTGCCACCCCTGAGGTGGTTGCAGGCCCTGCAGGCATGTGATAATCCTCCACAGCTCCACCCTCAGCAGAACCGTGGCCCGAGGCGAGGGAAGTGACGGAGCAGCAGTCGCTCTTGAAGCTCATGATGCTCGTTGGACGACAGGTCAGATCCTGAGTGTCCATTATAGCTGTAACAACAAGGTCCTCTTCACCTCCAGAAACCACAGCATACATCAGTTCATCCTCCCCGCGCGAGAGAGGTCCAACTGTTCCTACAGATAGTGCCAGCCCTGAGGCTTCAAGTGGAGGAGAAAACAGAGGGAAAACATTTGTGTAAATGTTTATACAACATTTGTCGTGATAATTCCTTCTCTTTCTTTCTATAGGACTCATACTGTATGATTCATATCCTGCTCTCATACTGTAGCCATGACCCTCACCATCTCTGAGCGTGTCCAGGGGGATCGGAGGGACGTCGTCGTCACAGAGCGTCTCTGCTGATCCCAGGCTGGCGGACAGAGACTGAGCTGGCTCTCGGACTTGTGGACTCATGCCCACCGGAGAAGTCCTGGACAGCATGGAGTCCGTGGAGGAGCGGCCGCTGTCTGCAGCCAAACTGTCTGAAGAATCAGAAACACATTTGGCACCGTCATTACATGTGTTGTCCAAGGGAAGAAAACAAGGAAATTGGCTTCACACAATGATTATAATTTGGACCCGCTGGTCATTATGATTATCTGTGTTGTGCACAAGTGACTCAATATGTGACTATATCTCATTTATGTAATGGTTTTGGCATAAAACAGCCCCCACATTACCTGCAGGGAAGACATGCGTGTTAGGATGCCCATTCACAGACTGTTAATGCATCAGTAAGTCTTAAGAAGTAACATTAAAGTACTAAATTCTAAATAAAAAGATATACATACTGTCGGAGGTCAACACTTCTGTGCCCTGGCCATCCTGAGCCAGAGTGTAAGAGGACAGAGGAGGAGTCGCCGGCATCACGCCCTTCTGGGTGTACACTTTACAGCGCTGGGACGGGGAGGACGGAGGCCTGAGGAGAGATAAGAGGATCAAACATTTTCAAGCTGGTCTTTGAAGCTGTTGTCCTTTTACCCTTTTGGACTGTTTGTGAGATTCTTGGTTGCTGAGGGTTTAATTTAGTTATGTAAGCAATACATGTAACATTTTAGACAACAAGTCCACATTATTAGCCCACAGTATTTCTGTGTACTTTACCTGTAGTCTGAGGTTTTGGTCAGGCTGGCGATGCCGAGGCGCGGTGATCCCAATGGACGGGCCTTCCCATCAGTGCCCATATTCAGACTCTCATGGCTGGTCAGAGACACAATACAGAAGACATACATTCAATTTAAACATTTTCCAAAGGCTAATAGCAAAATATGCATGAAAAAGAGCTCCCTCTAATTAAAAGACACCCATCCTCACCTGTCATGCATGCAGCTCTTGGTCCTGTGCAGGGGGCTCGAGGTGATGCAGCTGTTCCCTGTGACGTTCCTGGTGCTGGTTACTATGGGGGAACCAGAACTCTGAGCCAGGCTGTGGATCATGGTCTGGGCCAGCTCTGCCTCCTCCACCACCTCCTTAATATCCTGCAGCTGCTGGTCATTGGTCCTCCTCCTGGAAGTGGTTACTGTCGAGGAAAAGAACTGCACTGCGCCTCCTGCAGCAGAGCCTGTGGGCGACAGACAGAAGAATTGTTTCTAAATCCCAACGGTTGCAATAACTGTGAAATGAGACCTGACTTGATGCTGCATTGTTTAACACTAATGCACACCACTTTTTGTTTGCTTCAATATATAATGTATGTTTGGTATGTGTAATAAAGGAATGTACCTGTTTTGGCTTCTGTATCCAACGCAGCAGCAGAGCCAGGCGCAGCGGGAGCTGAGGACGGGACAGTTGAGGACGGGACAGCTGAGGACGGGACAGCTGAGGACGGGACAGCTGAAGATGGGACAGCTGCAGATGGGACAGCTGAAGATGGACATGGCTCCTGTTTTGGGCCTGGTTTGCCCGCTGAACCCTCTTCAAATGGGAACTTTGCAACCTGAATAAAGGGACAGGTAAGATAAGAAATGCCTGAGAACCTGAGATGGATTGATTTGGATGTTAAAAATGCACATTACAACTTTAAAAGACATCGTGACATGCAAAGAACTGAGTCTCGTACTACATATTTTGAAAACAAAAATACTTTTCAAATGCATCATTTTTTCGCACAATTGAGAGCAAATGTTTTTTTAAAGAGAAAGGAAAACGCCACCGTAATTACAAACTGTCACAGCAAGCAGGAGGTTCTGCAGATACATGTTGAAAATAATAAGCAGATGGACACAAAACTCTTTTTCCCATTTGAATAGATAGTTTTCAACTTGTCAAACAACATGTCAAACTTCAATACAGCCTCTCTTTCTCTTCTCTGGTGTATTTAGTTGTTGTTTCTCTTTAAATAAATACTGAAGATTCTCCTCACCTCCTCGCTGCCATCGATGCAGTCCAGTCTCTCCTGCAGCTCAGCAAATGTGTTGCACTTCAGGCACTCAGCTGCCTCCTCTGGGACGGGGGCCAGTGGCTGCCCCAGCAGAGAGGGCTGAGGCTGGGGGGGGCCCGGCTCCTCTGGCTCCACCTGTTGGAGCTGAAATCACAGAGACGGGAGTAATCTCATCTTTCTTTGCAACTAGCATTCTTCTGATTACTTCTGATTGTCTAAATGTAAATATATTTAAATCACCTTGTTCTGGGCTCCAGCTGGCTGTGTTTGGAGTGGCTCTGATGTTTTCCCTCGAAGCAAAGCAGGAATTATTGGTACAAATTCTGGCGGCCCCTCGTTGTCCGTCAACTCTCTGTCTGACACCGCGGCTCCATTCGGACCAACGTAGATCACCGTGTCACATGACTGCTCGCTGCTCGAATATTCGTCAGGGTCGCTGGACAGTCGCAGCAAGGGAAGGTCAGAGTCGGTGTCGCCACGGTGATGGAAAGGTCGCAAGTGAGTCGGTCGACGCATGCGACCTTCCTCGCAGGAGCTCTCTCCTCCAGAGGAGCTGGACGTGTATTGCTGAGAAACGGGAAGAGACAGGCGAGGAAGAGGCAGAGTGGGAGGTGAGAGAGAGAAACGACTCCCTTTTTAGATTTGCAGAGCATGTTTTCCTTTTTTTTGCCTTTAATTGACAGTTCACAATGCAGGGAGATGGAAAAGATGGAGAGGAAGGAGAGAGGATGAAATCCATGTAGATCCTGGCCATGCACCAAGTAACGGATTAAAGATAAGAACTTTTTTTTAGATTAAATTATTCCTATTTCTTTCACAGACTGGCACTTTCACTCCAGTTTTATTTTTAGAGCCTTGAAGCCCTTGTCCTTTTTTTTCAATGGAACAATTCTGAAATAAGTGAGCATTTTAAGTGAAGTGGGAAGAAAGGTGTCAGCAGCACATGTGATGGAAAGTGATAGGAGATAATGAAATGCAACTCAAATAAGACGATTTGAACAGGATGTTTAATGGAGATTCGCACTGATTTACAACAGTTACATGTCCATCTGTTTAGAGCGTCTTAGTGGTAGTCTATCTTGAATTAAATGTACCACAAGTAAAAGTTCTATGGGATAAAGAGAGACTATCTTCAAAGGTTAATGAAGCATCAAGGTTTGAGTCTAACTCACCACTGTGACTTTAGTTTTCTTCTTTTTCATGCGGAGGACGCGGGAAGCAATCTGGATGGTGGAAAGCGTTTCTGAGAAATCTCTGGGTGAGGCAGAGATGTGAGCAATCATGGTGGTCCGGCAGTTCATGTTGCCTAGCGACTCCCTTAGCAACATGGTCAGCTTGCTGTCCCTAGTAACACACATATGCTGAGATGTGAGCATTAAAGACACTTTGGAAATACACACAAATAATTCACTCAAACATTCGATTCGATTTTCTAACGCACACCCCCACAGGTCTGACATTTGACAAAAGGTTATTCATAATTATCCTTGGTTACAGTTTGTGTAACTATGGCAAAACACCACGCTAACAATTTACATATCATATAAATTAAGCTAAAATGTGTTAAATCAAGAGTGGATGATAATTATGAATCAAGTTAATGATCATTGATCATTGATATGACAAATATGACATCTGAAAATGAGCATGATAGGGCCCCTTTAAACATGTGAAAGGCTGCTTCTCCAGGCTAAAGCTTACACAGTCTAAACGAAAAGCACTCTGGATTTATGTATTCTAATATTGGGAGATGATATATCTCCCAGAGAGATTACGCTAGCAGATGGGAGAGTAACAGTAGGCTGTGTGTTTAAGAAAATACTTTCTCCTGGGTGGGCTACTGCAGTGTGTGTGTGTGTGTGTGTGTGTGTGTGTGTGTGTGTGTGTGTGTGTGTGTGTGTGTGTGTGTGTGTGTGTGTGTGTGTGCGCACGTGTGGATGTGTGTGTGTGCGCACGTGTGGATGTGTGTGTGTGCGCACGTGTGGATGTGTGTGTGTTGAGGCCTGCAGGCTGACAGTGAGTAAAGCTCCTCTGTGGCCTAATACCACACGCTGCTGTCCCCCTTCTCTAAAAACACAGCCTGCAGGCATGTCTCACACATATATGTATATTCACGTACACACACAGATCCAGTACACACCCGAGTGTGTATACACTCCTATCTTGACCTCCTCTTTCTCATCGATGCTCTATCCACTCCTCTCGTCTGTTTTCTTCTCTCTCTGTTTGCCGCCTCAGGCTTCAACAAACTCTCTCTTTTTCTCCATCTCTCTATCTCTATATCTCCCCGAGATTAATGTAGGTAAATTCATGACTCATGAAGTATTCATTTGCATGTTAATTCAAGTGCTGGGGACGTTGGATAAGAACTTACCTCTGAGACTGAGCTAGATTTACTGCAGTACCTTTTTTTGGGTGTAACATGGTGCTCTACATGATTTAAACGTGTCTATAAAGAAATTCCTAGATCACCATTATTATTATTATATAAAAAAAGGACTATAAGAATTATAGACGACCTTCTGAACATTTGTCTATAACCAAGCACACTTATTTTGTTAATATAATCAATTCTATGGTCAAACGGTACACACAGCGTACTGTGACTCTGGATGGTTGTGTGTGACTCCACTACAGGAGAAGGGGTGTCAGTGGAAAAATATAGGAGCTGCATGAATGAATTAGCACTTTGCCAGGAGAGATACAGCAAACCAGATGGAAGTGGTTCTGATTTGGTACGAGGAGCTGTAGAGAGTCCCTGATGACAAAAGTTGATGTATAGTGAATGTGAGAAGAGCCTCTAAATCTCCCTGAGTGTGTTGTGGCGGAAACATTGTCCGTCTGGCATCACGGTGAGACGCTAGGATTCATGTCTTGGCAAGAGCCAAAGTGTTGATTTTGTGGTTACAGACAACTGTCTGCAGTTCTGTTTTAACTGGGAAGCTACAGAGGCAGAGGAAAATGTCTACTGATCAACTGGGACAGAATCGGGGTAACCTAGCAACAGTAGTGGAACGGGACTGGGATTATAAGAGCGTGATGGGACCCTAACCTGAAAGTAATGAAGCACTGGAGAGTCAGCCTTTAACTTGGGTGGAATGAATGAAGCAGAGTTATTTGATTTTGAGTCGGAACCGAAAGAATATTAGTAACTGGCAGGTTGTCTGTCCCCCCCTCAATGAAGACTGAAATATCTCAACAACTCTCAAGTGGGCCGCATTTCTTATATTTGTATGGCCATAATAACCAAATGTATTAACAGTACCTGGTACTCTTTTGATACCATCAACATTAAAATTCCAAGCGAGCTGAGCCAATACAAGAAGGTGGAGTTAAAACACAGCAGACTGCTGATTGGTCAGAGAGAATTGACTCATCTTATATTCCAAGTAAGAAGATAATTGAGCTACCTGCTGCTTAAAAAGACAGACATCCAACTAACTTGCTGCAGGTCTCCCTTGAAAAAGAGATCTATGATCTCAATGGGACCAATCTCGTTAAATAAAGCTTTGAAATGAAATGAAATGAAATTTATGAATACACTAGTCTTATATATCCTGCTGGCTGGTAGCCATGCGGTAACACACTCCTACTGTCTCCACTGAGATCCACGAGAGCTTGTGCTCTACAGACTTTGTTCAGTGATTTGTTGTTCTGCGGTGACTGTGTTGATCCTTGGCTCTAGAGAAGGCAGTGACACGGCATACATTGCTAATTCTGTATCAAATCCCCTGACAATCCGTCAACAGTCTGAGTCACCGGTGCCAAACAGCTTTGCTCGCAGCCTCAGTGTAAGGTAGCAGGTGGTTTTGCAATGTAAATGCAAAATCTGGTGATTAAAATGAACTCAGCATGAATCAGAGAGTGAAAACACCCTTAAGGAGAGAGGAAGAGCAAAGAGGAATGAGAAACTGCATTTACAGTTTGTTTCATACAATGCACTGTTTATACTATACCATTGGGCATATAGTACTAAGTAGAAATAGGGTACTAAACTAACAGAAATTCAAATGTGTTCCCCCCTTTTTTAATTTCATGACTGTTAAAATCTGAATAAGGTCTCTATTCTATCTCTCCATCTCTCCCCTCCCTCCTTTACTCTCATTGCCAGTCAGTTAACCAGCTAAATGAATGTGATGAATATGTAACAGCAGCTGTTGTTGTTTATAACATTAAGTCTCAAAAACCTGAAACAGCTTGAGACATCTCTCGTCTGCTTCCCTCCTCCTCTCACTCTTCGCTTCTCTGCACACTCCTTTCATTTCCTCATCTCCTCTCTTCTCCTTCTCTCCTCACACATACATTCAAACAGCAGCTTACTTGTAAGGTATGTGTTTGCTCCCGTTCACCAGGGCCAGGATCACGTTACCGAGGGCAGACAGAGAAAGGCACAGAGGGGCCGAGCTGGGCGAAGAGTTCTCCCTTCCTTTCCCACCTCCCGCTCCTCCCACTCCTCCTCCTCCTCCTACTCCTCCGAGCACTTTGACATCACAGCTTCCCAGGTCCAGCAGGTGGAGGCGACTGCGTCCTCCTGACACTGGCAAAGTGAGAAAATGTGTCAGACATGGTGAGCCAGACAGAGGATGGTGAGGTGTGCATACATGTAAGAAGGGCTGAAGTGAAAAGGAATAGCACAGAGATGTTCAAAGTGGGAGAGTGGCCTCCCCAGGGGGGGTCCACTCACCAAAACACCCCTTTCAGTCGAGGATTTATGGAGCTAACACCAACCCTTTCTGCAAGTTTAATTCACCACAAGATGCGGCACAATAAGATCAATTGATTTGTGATGGAATAATAATCCAGTCAACTATATCATCAACAAACACATATTTTCCGTGGTGTTGATTTCAGGAGTATAGACCCTACGATCCCTCAATAAAGACAACAATAATACAATTTCACATAATCAAACGTTGCAGCTTGAGATGTTTTTCTGAATTCAGGGGCTATGGACACACACACACACACACACACACACACACACACACACACACACACACACACAATCTTTTGCCTTTTTTTTCACACATGCATACGTAAAAGCACTCGGGGTGTTAATTATCATTGTTATTTTGGTCTGACATCTGTCTCAGTGTCTCATTGTTATACACACAAAGAGACTCACACTACCCATTCATTATCATCCAGTTATTGATGGAGACATGAGTGCAGGTGTGATATGTCTAAACAAATCATCTATATCAGGATCATACAGTCTGTGACAGGTAT